TTGTCAGTTTCACACTTTAAAGCTGCAAAACATAAAATTAAACATGGATTACCCATAAACTGACAGTGAATGCCTTTGTGTCCATTCATGACTTCCTGGCAGGACTTACACGCTGAGGTTGCGGCGTCCATTTCGCTGACATAGTTCTGAAGTGAAAAGATGGCTCTGTGGATGTGAAGTGCCGGTGTGAGAGATTAGGTTACCTCAGACAGTCCCGGCGGACCTCCCAGCCAAATGGAGCTGGATCTCACGCTTGGGCGCACATATTGAATGCCATAAGAGATCTCTGAGGTCTCCTTCAGTGAGAGGAATGTGCAGCCTAACAATGTGGAGTTTGCACCAAACTAAATTTTGCACCAAAGAAGAGCAATAGCAAGGACAAGGGAACTCTGGGGACAGTCGCTGAATGTATATTTGCGCACGTGATTCAAACAGGATGAAATACCACATCTTTTACCTTCCAGGACAGCAACTTACTGCACAGCTTCAGATCTCATATTTCTTTAATAAAGTCTTAACACTGGCTGCTCTTTTGTCCTCCCGAGGATTGTGGATGTGTGGTGGTGAAAAGCAAAATGCCATTCCGCTCACATCTCAGATACAAACAATGCAATTTCAGCTGCTCTCAAACATCTGGACCCTCTGCCCAGCTTCACTAAGGATCGCCCAGGCTCTCAGCAACATTAAGAGCCACTTGCATTAAGGTTATGTTCTGTGCGACAGCACCGCTGAGGATCAGCCAGCCTAAGTTAGCTCTGAACAAGCCATCCATTCTGCTACTTTCTGATGGAATATACTTGGGAGCTGTGTAATTATATTGCTTTAAATGAGCCCCAGAGAACGCCCCTCCAAAGCGCCCACAAAGTCTCACACTTGGGCGAGTGTCAGAAACCCAGCGCTTGTGCATGCACTAATGTATGTCTCCGCGTGTGCGCGTTGTGCTGCTTAGGCTGGCGTTAAAAGTGGGGCCGCAGTGGTTCTGATACGCCTCACAAGTGAATTTAATTAAATCATAAATATGAGCTGGAGGCCACCACCCAATTTAATGTAATGGATGATGTGGGCCAGTCCATCTCTGGCAAAGCAAAGTTCTGGATCTGTTCAAAATGCCCTTGAAGCTTATTAAAAGTGTCTGGCACAGAGAGAGGCTTGCAAAGTTGCTTAATGGATGCCCAGCTTGCATTTGGTGTGACAGTTAATGTTGGGATGTACCAGTTCTGAGCGCGATGAGGGGCTGCGTCTTTATTAAGCAAATATTATATTCTTCAACATGCGTCCAGTCCTCAGTATAAAAAAAATATGTATCATTGACCAACAATATACACATTACACGTTTTTATGGACTATCTGGGTGACAAAACCATTAGACAAGTTGAAGTTATTTGCGTTTCCTGCCAGAGATTAGGACTAAGATCATCAGATGTGAAGGGATTTACTGTATTTTGGTCAAATATTCATGTGTAATCTTATGCAATATTGAAATGCCCTGCATGATACGTCAGCCACCAAATCTTGGCTCAATATCTGTTTAATTTACTGAGCTATAGCCATTTTTAATGCAGGCTAAGGTGAATTAGCGGTGGCGGCCATCATGAATTGGGTTGATTTCTTACGTAAATCAGTTTTAGAGCTACATCTATTTGCTTTCTAAAGTTTCATTAAAATTCATCAGGTGGTTCATAAAAATATCTTAATAACAAGCTCTTATTGCTAATGGCAAAGTTTTGAACAAAGACTTTATGTGATTAAATAGCACTTAAAGTATAAATCTCAGCTTCTGCCACACCGAGTTTTAGCTCAATAGCTGTAAAAGGACCAACGCAGACATGTTCCTGTTTTTAGTTTTCTACATTAGCCTTATAATCTAGCTGTTTTTTGTTACTTTTTTTTGCCATCTTATTTGTATAAAAAAAAACCCATCTGTATGCCTTTTTATAACTGTCTATTGTTGTCTGTTGTTGTCCACTGTTGTCATCATTCGTTGTTGAAATCAGGTCTCTCTTGTAAATGAGTCCTCGAGGCTCAATGGGATCAACTTGTCTAAATAAAGGTTGAATGAATGAAAACAATGAAAGTTCTAACACTTTTTTTTTTGAGTTTGTTAAAATTGCTTTGCTGCCATCTTGAATTTGGTTGACTCCAAATGTTATTCAGGTATAGATCATAGTACACCCCATGATACAGTTCAGCAAAATTAATTCAGTAATTTGTGGTAGATATTACGCTAACAGACAAACAGGACTGACACCTGCAGATAATGTTAAATTTTAAAGCTCTTGCACAAAAAGAATCAGTTAAAAGAATGTGGTGTGAGAGATACGACATGTTTTAACTCAAGTTCTGTAAAATTAATTGTATCAAGTTTATGTTTTCTTTTACTGTAGTTGACTGTGACGGCCATCTTGAGATGGGCTGGCTACTAAAGTTAATCAGTTGTATAATTCAATAGGATGATTATTTTCTGACAGTTTTATTAAAATCTGTCCAGTGATTCATGAGAAATTTTGCTAACACAACAGAAAAATACACTAACACAATCTCTTCATCAGTGGGCCATAATTATATATAAAAAAAACCCTGTTTTTATGGTATTTACCAGGGGCGATTCTAGCACTGGTCTTTTAGGGGTGTTTAGCCCCCAGTGCTGACAAAGACTCTTGGCTTGGACAAGGGGGTGGCCATTGGCATCAGAAGCATTAATAATGTTGGGGGGGGGGTTAAATAAATTAGATGCCATTTCCTGCATTCTGCTGTATTGTAATGGGTTGTTAAACATCTATGTTTACCTTCAAGTAAACACTTGATTCAATAATTATTTTCGAGAGCTCGGCACAACAAGAAGTAGCGCTAAGCTAGCGGCATGCAATACAGACACGCTAGCTAAGATGCTACAGATGTAGCGCTCTGCTTTACATTACACAACCTAATAAACACTTTGTACAAAATCAGTTCAGTATTAACTGATCATAACAAACAAAGACCACATTTATGCAACATATCTACATACAAAACACATAAATAAAAGCACAACTAGCTTTAAGCAATTAAGTTTAACCTTTAATTTAACCATTAAGCATACATTGTAATTATGACAGAAAATGGAGGATTTACTTGCAGTTACCTTCGTACAGATGAACACGTGGAACTTCCTGTTTATCACTGTTGTATTCAGCTGTTCATGAGGTTGGCTGCAGGGATTTATCATATTTTACTTTTTATTTTACATTTTTCCAGACTCTGTTAAGTTTTGTAAATGTAATAAACTGTATTCAACCCTCTAAAGCAGGGCTATTCAACTAAACTGCCCAGGGGGGCACAGTTTCTGAAAACCAGCAGCTCAGGGGCCGGACATCCAGCAATTAATTATGTAAACAAACCAAGTATTACAATGATCTGTTACCTTTAAAATTTGATTATTTTGTTGCATTGAATAAATGCAATAAACTGAACCCAAACCCAGCACAGCCAAAAAAAAAAAAAAAACTACTTTAGGGGTCCTGAGTTAAAATTTAGGGGTGCTTGAGCACCCCCCAAAAAGAGGCTAAAATCTCCACTTGTATTTAATAAATAAGTAAATAAAGAATGAAATAAATATTAAAAAGAGGCCAAAGCACCACAAAATATGTTGAACCCCAGTAATAATAAAAAATTATGCATGGGTTCATGAAACATAATGAACCGTGTTAATCCGTACATATTAAAATTTGATCTGTAGGTGAAATGAGAGTAAATTTGTTTCTGCAGGTATACTGATGTATGCATGCATGTCTGCATGTGTACTGTGCATGTATGGGTTTTTATGTATTTATGTATATATTGAATCACCAGTTTGATTCAGAATTTGTGTGTAAACTTAGGGACAGGACTGGACAAGCCTTTGCTTCTTCCTGTGCCCTTTTAGAACATTTTTGTTTTGTTTACAGAATATTTTGGTGGAAATATTTACGTATTTATTTATGTTTTTTGTTTTGTTGAAATTTTAACTGTTCGAAATCAAATAAAGAAAAAAAAAAAGACTTTTGTAAAAATCTCAATGATAAATTAAACCCCCCCCCCCCCCCCACACACACACACAAACAAAACTAAAAACAAAACAAACACATGCTGTTTCTGTGATTGTATAAAATTCCTATCATGTTTTTTCCCAAAAAATATTCATTTTGTGAAGCGTAGCTTCTATTAAAGTATTTTACAAGATTTTCTTGTATTTTTATTTGATCTAATTTGGTTGTATTTTGCAAATCAGGCTCACAGTGACTATATCACGAGTGAAATTGTTCCTTTAGGCACCGCCTCTAGTATTAATACACTCGATCGGAATGTATTCCTCTTATTGTTCAGTCAGCAGATGCAGAACCCGCTGTGTACTTAAGATGAAGCATTAATGTTGTGTCTTGTTAGTCAGAGTAGTTACACAGATATGAGCTGCACAGCAGAGCTTCTGGAAAACACAACCGAAAGCTTCAACAAATGTTGGGCTGCTTGCGTGTCACCACTGATGAATCATTTTCACAGACAGACAGATGCTAATGTCCCATTCGGCAAAGGCAGAGGAATCTTTTCCCTACTCCCCCGGAGTGCTGGAGGCTCCCTAAATAGGCCTGGCGCATGGGTGTGTAGAATGGGACCGCACAGGGTGATGGGTAATGGAGTCATTAATAACAAAGACCTCCCTTAAGATGCTCAGATGTTCGTTAGCAAGTGCCACGAGGGAGTGAGGACAAATAGGATCCAATTTGATACAATAAAAAAAAAAGCATTGTAAGTTTTTATGATAATCGTGTTTATGCTTGTTATAGGCGCTCGCTCGTCTGAAGAGTTAATTGTGTTTTCACACACAGACACGCACACACACAGGTCATTTCCTCATACAGTTTTTAATATTTTCATCACATGTGCAACACAAAAAAACCAAAAAAAAAACCGAGGTCTGCCAAATACAGAACTCTATATTTGTACAATACATTTGAATAAGATTGGAGATAACTTTCGTTTCGCTGCAGGAGATGGTGATTTTTCCTGTAAACTGTGTACGAACAATTTTCGGTCAAAATGTCAAAACATTAAAGTTTCATACAAAAGTGCATCTCAGGTTCAATGAATGCAAAACGTTTATACATAACAGAACGGTTTAAAGATTTCGTATGATGCCACAGTGGCTTCCAGCTTGAACAGTGGGTCATAAGAGAAAAAAATAGGAAAAGAAAAGAGGCGTAATGTGATGGGCACTCTCCAGGAGAGCCGGGGACGGAGTTTTGTAACTAAATGCATCCCCGGGACAGACTGAATATTCAGTCTTCATGCCCCAAATTCAAATATATTTACTGCCTCATTCTGAAGGAAACAAAACCTTACAGATAGAACTAAAATAAAGAGAAAATTCCAGTAATCTTCTGGCTTCAACAAGCAGTAAACATTAATAAAAGAAATGTATAGGTTGAACCGGAGGGCTGGAGAGTTCCCCATGCTCTGAGAGCCACATGGGAGCGTCACGCCTCTGTTCACGAGCCAACCACATGAACTAGCCTTATCCAAATCTGTGTCACTGCATTTGCATATATCAGCATCCTGTCCTGTGTCCTGCTTATTTTTCCCCCTCCCGCCTCTGTGTTGTTTTATATTTATTTTAATTTTTAAAGTTTTCAACATGAACTCCAGCACAGGCAGTGCAGATTTGTTACGCCGTCGCTCACAGCCGGTCTGGCAGCCGGATCACTGTACGATACACACACAGACAAGCTTTCTGCCTATGCTGGTGAATCAAGCTTCTCTTAACCATAATGATTGACCACGTCTGGATACAGAGTGACTTACTGCGCAGCAGGCGTGCCACTGATAAAAAGAGTCCTCTGACAACACTTGCCAGTTCCCACAGATTCCTCTGCTGTCAGTGGCACCCCATTTTTCCTTTACACACCGGGTTAGGACCCGTTTTGTTTGACAATTTCATTGATATTTTCTTCTTTTACTCTTCTTTTTTTGTTTGGACAAACATTTTGAACTGTACATTGGCAAATACTGTATAAGATTGCAATATACCTGTGGTTAAGCAACACACGATGAAGTCTATGTACAAACAAATGTTCTTTAACTTGACATAATGGTTGGTAAAGAACAAAGAGATTTCTTTTAGGTTTGTTCTTCCCTTCCTTCCTTCGTTCTTTCTTTTTTAAAATTTCTTTTTGTAGATGGGTTTCTTGTGGTGCCACTGAATCAAAACTTCAGTACACGACAGTCAGTGGGAGAAAAAAAAACGCGCTGACAGTAATTGGCGGTCAGGCATTATTCCGTGCGTCGCCATCCTTGTTTTCGGCCACGGCGCTGAGCTCTGCCACGTTAGCTGCTGTGCTGAGTCAACGTGTGGTTCTGCAAAAACACACACACAAAAGAAAGAAACGGGGGGGAATATGATTACACGGAATAAGACTTTCATTTCATTACACGTTTACTTTTTTTACTCAAAGCCCCAATACTTTCCTCAATCCTTTCACTCATTTAAAATGTTATGATTGACAAGCGCTATCTTTGGATCGTGTTGACATTTGAACATCATCATCATTAGACTTTCATTATCCAGATTCAATCAATCCACTCAGGAGTCAAATCAGTGTGTGTGTGTGTGTGTGTGGATCGATAGCATTTGGCTTTGGGATTAAATGTATTTAAGTCCTGGTCTAACACAAACACTCAAGACCGCTGACGGATAACATCCCATCGCTCAGAAATCCTGCCTCCCAATCAAAGGCTGTATCCATGGCAACAAAATACATAACAAGGTACCAAAACACCTGACGGAATATCATCGCTGGAGACCAGTTTGTCCGGTGCTCATTTATTAAATGTGCTGCACGAGAAACACCTCAGGTGGGGGTGAGGCCACTGATGATCTGATCCTCTGCACCTCCATGAGTATGTAACAGCACGCAATTCACCATGACGGGATAACAAGATGACAACATAACTCTGTTGTGTTGTTTCTCCCAGATATATGCGGGCACACACACAGAGTGAAAGGGTTGTAGCGGGGGCAGCTGTGCCAGGTTCTTTAAAGGGAGTGTGGACCAGGGGGTGTGTAACTGGTGTCCCTGGTGGGCTGAATCCAGGTCATCTTTTGAAGTGACTGCTAATCCCTTTAATGCAAACTACATGCCCCACTTGCTGCGCTCTGTTTAAAACACGGGCTTGGACTCTCTAAACTGGCACGGACTAGACACACCTGTCACCGAGTCATCGTCATGCACGCACAAATACACACACATTCAGGAAAACAGAATTTGAGGCATGAATAATGGCATTTAGTTTAGTTACTGTTAAACATGCCTGTCCTAAATAGGCATTCAAAGTGATTTCTGCCACCTCAGTGAGGTCTACCAAAGCAGTCACCTTCAGTCCTGTTGGTGCAGACTTCCTCCGGCAGTACTGAGACAACCATTAGCCTCCCCTCCCTCCTCCTACACCCGTTCCTTCTCTTTTTACCCTTTCAGCTGCTTCCATACAAAGCATTTAAACACCTTGGCAGCTTTCCTTTCAGCTAGGGCGATTACTTTCCGACAGGTGGGGTAATAAGCTGTTTGACGGGGAGCAGGATTGTGACCCCTGCGTGGGTTACTGGGCCTCGACTTGGCCCCTCTCTCCCTTATTTTTTTTTTTTTAAAGAGCTAGCTCCGGACAGCTCCGCTGCTTCCCTCTCCTCTTTCCTGCTGAAATAAAGCTCCTTTAAGTGAGTCTGGGAGGAGACTCCCCACGGGATGCTCTCTCTCCTCACCTCACTTCGTCCCCCTCCTCACACTCCCCCAGCCCACCCCTCTTCGGTGAAGACATCCTTGGCGTTGCAGAGAAGGGACAGGAGCACGGCAACCTTATTAATGAATGCGGCCCATTACCCGTCAGCCTGGCTCCTCAGCGACTCCCAGAAGCCCCTGCAGTACGTGACTTCAAATGGCAGGATATTGACACGGGGGGGGGGGGGGGGGAGAGCAAAGCGGCTAGAACTGAGTGAGCATGTGTGTGTGTGTGTGTGTGCGTGTGTAAAAGAGAAAAACACAGAAAGAAAATTTGTGCTCAACTGAGTGTGCATGCCTTTGTGTAAGTGTGCCAGTGCATCTAGGTGTGTGTGCGCACGTATGTCTGGACCCCAAAGGAATGTAGCTCCTTGGATATAATGTAGGGCTCGTAACAGCTATTAGAGGGGAAAATAACCCCTCTAGGGAATGGCTCCCCCCTCTGAATGTCCCAGCTCTGCCTGACATACACTGCATTCTACCTTTTTTCCTTAAACATGCCAGGAGTTTTTACACTGAGGGCTTTCTCAAGGACGGTGTTAAACGACTTCAGTGGCTGTGGCAGCCATGCAGACTAAAGGGAAATAGAGGGAAAAGGGGAGGAGGAAAAAAAAAACTTAAAAGAAAATGAAACTGATACCTTTATCTCTGTGGATACTGAACTCTGCAGAGTAGCTATAAACTGTTCTGTGTACAGACGGTGGAAGGATGGAAGGGCGGAAATTCATTTTCCAATCTTCCTCCTTTTCAGGTTCATCAAGTTACAAGCGTTTGATGCTTAAAATACCTACAGAGTTTGCAGCCACAAATTAGATATAAAACACACAACTTGCTCTCACCTTTTGCAGGAAAATGACCAAAAATGTCCAGTGCACCTGTAAAGAGCATGCCACTAATGGTGTCACCATAGAATCACTACAATTTAGGATTAGATGCCCTCCATTAAGCATTTTAGCTCTCATCCTAACTGCAATTTTATTCCCCCTGAAACTCTACTGTTCCCTTCATCATCCATTTCCCTCCCTTATAGCCAACCCTTAATCTCCTGCTCGATCCTTTCAACCACCTGCTGGTCGCACGGGCCTGCTGCAGGGCCCTGTTAGCAGCGGTGTTCAGGTAAAGCATAGCACTCGATTCCACACTAAATTAAATTTTGTGCTGATCAATAGTGTGCACCCACTACTCTCTTTTAAAGACTGGCTGCAGAGGCACAGAGTGAGCACCCCTTCCTCTCCTCTCTCCGGTTCTGTGCCACTGTTAAACCACCACTTTCATCTGATTACATCACCCTACTGCAGCGCCCTCAGGGGTAGTGGAAGAGGAGGGAGAACACCCGGCAGGGGTCTAGTGTACCCATGCAAACAGGTGCAACACGTCTTAGGAATTTAATGCTGCTGCAGAAAGGCGGAGAGGGTGGATGAAAAAACAGGGAAAGATTGAGAAGGAGCAGAAACCATAGAAGAGCGTCGGCTAGGGAGCTGATTTATTAACTAATCATTTTTTATGTCGTTCCCAATTGCTTTGGTCTCCATCGATAGCACCCGGTCTCCAGTGAGGTAACAGAGGTGCATCTCTTGCATCAGCTCTGCAGTGCAGTGGACTCTTAGACCCAGCCTCTCTTTCATCATATTAAGGAACATCTTCCAATTGTCCAACATCACAGAGAACAAGTAAAGCTTAATTGCAACGTTAACAAAGTTTGATTAGCAGAAAGGTAATACCTGCTGAGCACATGCTAAGTGCATCGTGTCTGCACCTTCTATGCCTGGTGTTATCCAGCCTGTAACATTAAAGCCAGGCTTTATTGAGTGGTTGTAGACCTGACGGAGCAATAATGACTTTTTAAGCCATGGCCTTTTCATGGTTTCTTGAACAAATAAAGCAGTTTACACAAGAGAAGAGCTGGCCAGCGGATTGATTCCAATGTGTCCCATTATGAAGACCTTACATTGTAGGGAATCTATTTTTAAACCTCTGCATTCTAATCATAATTATTTTCTGCACACTCTTTGCAAGTATGCTCATATAATTTCTTTTAGGAAGGTTACTAAGACAAAAACAAAAAGATGATAACCTATATTTCTGCTTAGTTTGATAAATAAATGCAAACAGTGCTTGAAAAACGGCTTTACATTTAAAGTACAACTAATTAAAAATACATTTTGCATTTGTAACAATATTTATTTATATTGCAGCAACTAAGCAAAAATAACATTTTATCTACAATAAAGATCCCTTCTTTAAGAAACCTTTTCATTAGAGGAGTTCTCTTATTTCAATCTCAAAGCAATGTCCTCCTGCTTATCTCTGATTAAAAATGTGAAGATCAGTCGAAAGTGTAAACACCCCCCTTTAGGCGCTGATTAAAAGCTGTGCATGGCTGACATGAACTTAGTGTACGTAGCAGCCGCTGGAGCATGGGGAGTGTGCACAAAACCACTGAGACCTGTGCACATTTTTAGTCATCACTCCAGTTTTTAATTAAGGCACAAGAGAATGTTGCAAAATGTTACTAAAACAAACTACCTGGGTTCTTTTAGTCTTGGGGTGTATACAGGAGGTTGGTTTTAAGTAGAGATGCATGATATTGAATTTTTTTGCCGATATCCAATATGCCGATATGTTAAAACTTTTTTGGCCGATAACCGATACCAATACCGATATATTTTTTTTCATAGAGCTACTTACAGAGACTACATAGTTTTCTCTGCTGTGGAATTAAAATACTACATTATTCTGCATGGTCTTTGTCAATTTGGTGTGCTACCAAATGCAGATGCCGAAAAGGTGGCTGAAAATGATGATTTCAACTTGGATTATGTTTAATGTCAAATTTATTCAAGATATTTACTTTCTCTAACACAATGACAACACTCGAACAGCGCAAATTTGTAAATTTTCACAAATCTAAACTCAACGGCGCACGTGATGTCATAATATTGTGATGGTGCTGCAGGCATCCTTGTCACTGAGTTGTTATACAAAAACAGTGCCTTTCATATACATATATTTTATATACGGTATATATATATATATATATATAAACAGCGCCTTTCATATCTGTGAGTTATTTTGATGGAATGGCCAATGTCAGATATTTAACTTTATCGCTACTATCGGCCGATACCATGCCGATAATATCATGTATCCCAAGTTTTAAGGAAAGAAAATCATTTAAAATTTAGGCTTATTTATGTTTCTGTCATCACTGAAAGGAAAACGGACACCTCAGTGCAAAGACAGGAGCACGTCTGTCTCAATCTTTATTGGTGTGTTGAACTTGGTCCAGTTTTGTTCCATTAGTGTTTTCCCCACAGCTGACCAGTCCACTGAGGGAGTAATCCTTCCCTGCTTTGACCTCAGGCCAGGCTTACCACCACCCGGTTTGGCCAATGAATAACACCATCCAATAAATAAATAAATAAGTAAACCAGCGGTTGGCATTCTCCACAGTCATCACTTATCAGGCCATGGGGAGGGCTGACCCAAAATACTGTTGTACAACAATCAACCCGGTCTCCTTGGTAACAGACAGTCTTGTTTGAAGTGCGGTGCCCAGGGAGCCATGGTCAAACTGTAGCAGCA